ATTCTAACTATTAGAAATAAAATATACAATCTCCTGCCCTCAGTTAAAACTAATACACCATCAAGCACAGAAATCTCAGAAACAGCTGAGAATCCTACCAATTATATTACACATATTCTCTGATCAACCTTGATCATCTGACCACAACAATCTCATCCTCTAAACCCACAACTTGTGTCTTAGATCCCATTCCTACAAAATAACTTAAATCAATTCTATCCATAATTAATATTACTTTACTGAATATAATGAATCTATCATTATCATCAGGATATTTACCACAGTCCTTTAAGCTAGCTGTAATCAAACCCCTTCTCAAAAAAACCCACCCTGGACCTGGAGGTTTTAGCCAACTACACACCAATATCCAACCTCCCCTTCRTGTCTAAAATCCTTGAGAAGATTGTAACCAATCAGCTGTGTGAGTTTCTCCAGGAAAGTAATGTATATGAAGACTTTCAGTCAGGGTTCAGAGCTCATCACAGTCACAGCCTTGACAAAAGTCACTAATGACCTAAMAGCCTCAGATCATGGGTTTGTGTCTGTCCTCGTCCTGTTAGATCTCAGTGCTGTAGTTCGGGAGGCAGACACCCCTTCTACGTTTAAGAATAGGCTTAAAACCTTRCTTTTTGATCAAGCTTTTATAGTTAGAGCTGGTCCAGGCTTGTCTTCGACCTGCTCTTAGTTATGCTGATATAGGTCTACAATGTCGAGGGACACATGACACATGGAGCTTCTCTTTCCTCTTCTCCCTCCTTATCACATGAAATAAATGAATGTCTCATCAATACATATTATTGACTTGACTTCTTCCCCCGGAGTCCCTGTGCCTTATTGTTCGCAGATCCAGGGCCGTGGCTGCGGCCACATCGTGAATTATGATGGTGGATTACGAATCAGAGATTYTGATCATAACGGCGGATCCTGTATCAAGCTGGCTGATCATTATCGTAATGATGGACCATGATCGAGGTGGCAGCTGATGGAGGATCCTGATGGATCATGATGATGGATTATAATGGTTTATCTTGATCGTGATGGCAGCTGATTGTGGACTATGATTACAACAAGACTACTTGATATACAATATGTCTACTCAGATACTCAACCATTACTGACAATAATTCCTCAATTCAATTACCTTCCATCACGTTTTTCATTACATGTGGCATCTATTGCACTTCTGTCCATCCTGGGAGAGAGATCCCTTACATGTGGCTCTCTGAGGATTCTACCTTCTTTTTCCCTGTTAAAAGATTTTTTGTTGGTAGTTGTTCCTCACTCTTGTTGAGGGGTAAAGGGCAGAGGATGTCACACCTTATTAAAGCCCTATGAGACAAATTGTGATTTGTGAATATGGGCTATATCAATKAAATTTGATTGACTTGATCGATTGATACAGTCAGKAGAAAAAACTATTGCCAAGAATACCGGAGGAGTACGAAACTGGCTGCCAGCTAATTGTATATATAATTCTCCATAGACGCTCTCAGGATGGGAGACGTTGTACAGGCGACTGGATGGGTAGGGGGCGCCAGGGAGCAGGTCAATGGCYTAATCATGGGCCTGTGAAAAGGTAGAGTTTGAGCTTTAATTTTTCAAAAAAACATCAGCAAGGTTGTCATACCCAGGYGGAATGAGTGTCATATCAGGGGGCACTGGTGTGGATACTGGAATACTCTGAGAGAGGGCTGAAGCAGACTGTAGGCAGTGTGAATGACAAAAAGGGCTCCAGCCAGTTACTGAACCGGTGGACCAGTCGATGTGGGGATTCCACTGCCAGGGCTGACCAAGGTGAGGGAATGACAAGTGTTTTGATCTTTTCACAGTGATTGCCTGCCAGAATGAGATMTGGTCAGTCTGGTGAGTGACTTGGGCCAACAGTCTACCATAGAGAGCATTTACCTTGRGGAAATGGCMTCTTGAGTGATGAGGGMAATAGTGACGCCATGAAATGAGAAAAATCATAGGTCATATGTTTTGCTAAAAGCCACATATCAGTACAAATTAATTTATATGGACAGCTACTGGAACAGGTTGATGTGGTCAAGTTCACTTTGATGAAAAATGTACCTGGTGCTCACATATAGATGAAGTCAAAAATAAATTTAAAAGATTAATAATATATTACGATTTATGTCAGGGTAAGATTGAGGAGCTATTTAAAAAAGATAGATTTGGAACAAGCTCAGGCTCTCCTGATCTGTAGTGGAGCATTTAAAACATCACCAGTTGCAMCAATGCAAATTGAAATGGGTGAGCTGCCTAAAGGATCAGAAGAGTCAGGAGTATGTTGACACAATAATTCACACCCTACAACAGCTGTAATACAGGAGTGTTGGGAGCATAATAAATCCAGATTTGCTTAGTTTCAGCAGTTGCCAGTATTAAGTTAAATCATCATGCAGACAAGATATAGTCTATGCAATTTTTCACGTGTTCCTCAGATTACATCAGAGAGGGTTGAATAACTCATTCCTATGGTTCCAGCTCACGTGGGAGTCGAAGGCAATGAGGAGGCAGACAAACAGTCATTAAAACGTGCAACAATCGACATTTAGGTACCGCTTAGCAAAGCAGACATAAAAACATTAACGAATACAGTCACAAAACATGGCAAGAATACACAGATTTAAATGACACAGGAGGACATTTGTACAAAATTAGGAAAAATGTAGGCACTGGTGAGAGGAGCAGAGGAGAGAAAATCATTACCCGTCTGAGAATTGGTCGTACAAGATTAAACGATGCGCTTCATAAAATAGGCAAGCACCCAACTGGATTCTGCAAACACTGCAAACTGATGAACTACTTCAGAGAAACGGGTCTTAAGAAAGTATATTCATTTGGTTTTGTTCTCTGCCAGTCTACCGCTTCACACTCCAATCCAGCTGGGGGCGGTGATGCGCGTGTATGCCGGTCTGCCGGCCGCCATTAAACACCAGAAGAGGAAGAATAAAGAAAAAGAAAAAGAAGAAGAAGGAAGATAAGACTGTCGCCTGAGTCACGGAACTGAAATGGCGGCATTAGCGGAGAGGATGGAGGTAAGGTCTCATTACAAGACATACACCACAGTCCTTTGTTTTATTCCACGGCTTTATCTCGTGTATCAGCGCCACATTAGTTCATCAGACAAACTGTATTAGGCTGTTTAGACGTTTTAGTTTTCATACGCATGAGTGCTGGGAGTCGAGGATGCTTCCATTTTAACTTGGCCAACGTGACTCCGTTAAAGCATCTGCCGTTGCCGTTCATTTATTCGCGTCGCATTTCAAACGGAGGTCTTGATTCATTTGAAATCCATTTTCGAGCGGGGTTGACCGTTTAAGCTTTAACAAACCCCGCCAGCCGAAGTGAGCGATGCGCGCAGGAGAGACGTCGTTGGCCGGCAGCCTCTGGCCATTGTGCCGGACCGCATGGTATGCGTTAGCTGCACAGCTAGTTAGCAAGATGCTCTCCAGGCGTGGGCGCTGCCTCTTTCTCCCGCTGGATTACTTAAACCAGCATGTAATGGGCACGTGTCGCGCCTGGGCCAGCGTGGGTTTCCCCCCCCCCCCGTCTGATTTCGTTCATTTGTCGCGATTACATTATTATTTTGTGTGGGGATTCATCGGTAGTCGCACAGCGAGTCGAAGCAAACCAGCGCGTCCTTAGTTTGCATTACAGAGATCAGAGGACGGGGCTGTTCACATGTGCCAGTATCTGGGAGTCTGGGATTATTAGCGAGTTGCTGTGTGATGGGTTTAGACGTGGTCCATTTGGCTTTAGACGTGGTCTGTGGATGGCCTGGATCGCAACCATGTGGTGCTCAAATTATTTGAGGACAAGTAGCTGAGACACCCGCCACAGTGAAACTTGCGCTAATGTTAACAAACTACGGGTTTAGACTGCAGCACCGTTTATAGTCGTGCCGTTTTGGAGGGGAACACGTTCGGGGGTGGTTCCATCGTGTAAGGATGTGATGGTAAAATCCCATTCATGAGTTTGGTGTTCAGATCTCTGCTTGAAAGGTTTCTGTTGAATTCAAAAAGCCAGACAGGTTCAGAAGGTGATTCCCCACAACATTCTTAGGCCTGGTGGAAACACTCATCAAAAAACCCCCCCTTAGGTGCATGGTGAAGAAAAACGTGGGGGACTCAGAAACGCAAGAGCAGTGGCCAAAACACGTCACTCTCACAATTACAGAAATATATTATTACATATATTATATAACATTGTTAATAGTGGTAACTGTAAAGTTACTGTAAGAAGCTTCATTACATCATATTTCATTTATATAACATGACCCGGAGAATCAGACATGACAATTCAATTCTGTTTCTAGAGGAATGACATAGGTTATTAACAGTCCTCTGTCCTCTTTGGTGCTCCGGTCATTCATTGCAGATACGCGGTAGAGAGTGTACCACATTAATGCATTGTGCATGTGTGAAACGAAAACTCAAGTCCAGACCCAGTTCTGCCGAGACCCTCAGCAGTACGTGTCTGAAAGTGGCTTTTGTTGGTTCCTTTCTGGTGGTATAAGCAGCCCATATGAGCAAAACCGCTTGTACCACCATGAGTGGTCAATCACGTGTAGACGGGTTCTTTACTGCTGAAATTTTAACAACACACTGTGCAGTAAAGTCGACTCTAAAATCATCGTGGTGATACTTAGCGTTGCCGTTTGCTTTACGGCTGCAACCTTCATGCTTTTAAGAGTGTGATGTAAAGAGCCGTTTCCTCAACTTATAAATGCAACAAATATCAGATCATAAAAGCAGTAGAATGTCAGTGCTAAGCCTCTCCTAGACTGTAACTGTGTATATCTTTTGAGGTTTCTCAGGGGGAGAGCTCAGCCAAGCCTGCTGCTGAGGATATGACCTCAAAAGACTACTACTTTGACTCATACGCCCACTTTGGCATCCACGAGGTAAGAAACCATTTTGCAAAATTTCTGAAGTTCATGTCTTTCTTACCATGTTTTGACTTTTATGCCCTTTGGGGCCTTTTTTCTGACACTATAGGAGATGCTTAAAGATGAGGTTCGGACGCTGACCTACCGCAATTCCATGTTCCACAACAAGCATCTGTTTAAGGACAAAGTGGTGCTGGATGTGGGCAGCGGGACAGGCATCCTCTGCATGTTTGCTGCCAAAGCTGGAGCCAAGAAGGTTATAGGGGTATGTGTTAGGTTAATCAGAAATCATCCATTTGTGTAGTTTTCTAGATTGACTGAACCTAGCAAGTACATCCGAGGTGGAGTGGCCTAAGTAGAGAAGGTGTGAATTTAAATGTGTTTTGTCTTCATAGATAGAGTGCAGTAGCATCTCAGACTATGCTGTGAAAATCGTCAAGGCCAACAAGATGGATGATGGTGAGTTAATGATCTTTGCTGACACATGTTGGGTTTCTTTATATGCGGATCGCGGTCATGAAATTTGTGTTGCCTCCTGACCTACTCTTGTGTATGCAGTTGTGACTATCATCAAGGGGAAAGTGGAAGAGGTGGTGTTGCCCGTGGAAGGAGTCGACATCATCATATCGGAGTGGATGGGTTATTGTCTCTTCTATGAGTCCATGCTCAACACAGTCATTTATGCCAGAGACAAATGGCTGGTACGTACATTTGAGTATGAGTGTAAGAAGGAAAGAGCTTTGTTTTATGCTCTACTCTCCAATCTCATATTTCCCCTCCCTCACTGTTCAACACAAACAAGCATGTCTGTTTTTTAGTAAACACACTTGGGAAATCCAGGCATTAATACCTTTTACTTGATCCAATAGTGTTTGCTTATGCTGGTAACCCAATAAGTACACTCCAAATTTAAATTATTTCACACCAGCAACAAATCCTTTGCATTATTCAGGCGAGAAGTGGAGCAGCTGGGTGCAGCAGGAAGTCAAGTATTAACTCTGCCGCAGAGATCGCATGATCAAACCCCCACTAGCTTGCAGTGCATCCAGCAGTGCATCCAGCAGGGGAACCCCTGCTGTCAACACATAGAGTTCTCCTGACTTTCTATGGGCATTATGCTTGTGGACAAGGAGGGTCAAGTCTGCAGATAATCTGGAGCATTTTACTGGGACATTTGCATTCACACATGCACCTCCTCTGGTGAAAATCTGAAGTTCAGCCCATATCTGAAAGCAGCTGTTGAGTGCCTTTCTTGTTAACTGCATGCTATGTATAGACCTGTTTACAACAGTCTGCACTAGGGCTGCACCTATCAAGATTGTTGTAATGATACATTTTTCGATTGATCTAATGATAAATTTGTATTACTCAATTGATATAATAATGAATATTTCAAAAATATATTTAAAAACTTGTTTCATTTATATTTATTTCGTCATCTGCTCTTGAATACAAACAAATATGAGTAAACACAAAAAAAACAATGTATGCGCTGCAAGACATTATTCCACAACAAAATAGCTCAGTCTGAACTGCCAATCTGCCTTCTATGGTCCCATACCAAGTCTCTCAATAACTAAATAAATGAAAAAAAGTAAAATTCAAGTAACTTTATTTAACACTGTAAATTCAAGTCTATAAAATCATTTTAAGGTAAAATTAGTGCAATTTGAGTAACAGTGAACTTTTGAAAAAGGCATCTTGAAGTAAAGTGCTTAATTTTGAAAAAATAACCTGCTGAAGTTCTGCGCCTGAGTTTCTTTTTCACTTCTCGCCCCTTCACAGAAGCCAGATGGACTAATTTTCCCAGACAGGGCAACACTTTATGTCACTGCCATTGAGGACAGGCAGTACAAGGACTACAAAATCCACTGTAAGTAGTCTTTTCTCCTGACCCAACCTAAGCCTTTGAGCTGCAGTGTTTCCTTTAGGTTAGAAGTCCTCTGTGATTCCTTGGTTTGAGCAGAATTACAACTATAGCGGAGCATTGTTTGTTCTAAACATTTGAGTAAATATTCAACCCACAGATAATGACTATTGTTAGGAATGGAAACACAAAGAACGCACAAGGCATTGAATCAACATTTTGTGTTTTAATTTGACTGTTTGTGCTCTGTCAGGGTGGGAGAATGTGTATGGGTTTGACATGTCGTGCATCAAGGAGGTGGCGATTAAGGAACCCTTGGTTGACGTGGTGGACCCGAAGCAGTTGGTCAGCAATGCCTGCCTCATCAAGGTGGGTCAATCAATGATGGATTGAAACTGAACAGGGACCTGTATGACTAAGCTGGTTTTGTGAATATCTAGTCAACTTAAAAGTTTAACTTTTAGCATAATCAGACCTAGGAAACTGCCTCTGATCTTACTTTTGCTGAACAGCTAACCTGCTTCTGTACAGGTTGAGTTTGTGATTACAGATCAAAACCTTTAAACTGTCCAACCACTGACCAATCTAATCACCGGAAAACCAGATGCAAAGATAGGCACGATTGTGTCCGGCACATAGGTTTACAATGAAGTGAAAAGTTAATTTTTTATAGATGAGTGGAGTTGCTTTGCTGTTCCAAACTCTGTCCATATATTAAATACATCAGAGCTGTCATGGCTTCATTTGACTTTGATTTCTGACAGTGTTGATGCTTTAACTCTCTTTTACAGCAGCTCTGAAAAAAATCGAGAATAAAAGAAACATCCGATGTCTTAATCAAAAATTACCCATAATAAACATTTTAGTCTAAATTCCTCATGTCATCACAGTAATTCTCTCCACTGCTTCTCTCTGAAATACAAAACATCAAAGTTGAGAAGCAAACGAATACAATGTTATTTAAAAGCAAATCAAAGTCAGCAGATAAAATGTGTCATTTAAAATTGATTAAGGAATGAAATGCAATAAAGTAAGACCGTAACTCTGGTTCAAATGTGATGATATTCGTAAGTGACGACTCAACCTTTTCCCCTTACATACACCTTTAAGCCAGATGATGATATGTTAAACCTGCTTTGTCCTGCAGGCCCAAGAAATATCTCTGTACTTTGGTGGAGAGATATTGACTCTGATTGTGTTGTGTGGTTGTTTATTCAGGAGGTGGACATATACACAGTGAAGGCAGAGGACCTGACCTTCACCTCACCGTTCTGCCTGCAGGTGAAGAGGAATGACTACATCCATGCCCTTGTGACCTACTTCAACATAGAGTTCACCCGCTGTCACAAGAGGACCGGCTTCTCTACAAGTCAGTCTGCTCTTACACACAGTCCACCTATAGTTTTTACACAGCAGCAGTTGGTCATACATACTGCAGACACCGCTTGGACAGATAAACAAAATAACTTTTCTGAAACATTGATAACTTCTTAGTTTATTAGTTACTCTTAAAACCAATAAGCTAGTCTTGCATGACAGTTCGGGGGATTCTTGTTAACCAGGAAATCAGTAAATGGTCAATGCAAACAGGTGATTTACTGTCACCATGCATATTATTACACTGGATGCCCATCATTTAGTAGGCGTCTTGGTAGTCAAGTGAACCCCCCAAACATTGTTACCTTAAAAGGAAAGTCAACCCATCAAGCTGAGTTTTAGTAGGAATGTTGAACCTTTTGACGTGTCATAACTTATGATGCTACTATTGTGTTTGTTAGTTCACTGTCAAGGTTTCTGATTAGCAAGAGCTCTTACAGTAATGTGTGAGGATGGTCAAAAAATTTTTTTAAGAGAACCCTGATGGGGTAATGCATATTCCTCAACTTTGGGTCCTCTATCTAGTCTAGGTTGTGGGTTCTGTGCAGTATCTTAGCTGTTCCCAGGACTCATTTGTCTGGACGAAGGCCTCAGATGTTGTACCTGGGTTCTGATGGACCCTCTCTTGTTGGGACATTGGTACCTCTAATCCTTGGCACAGATGTTCCTTGATACAATTCTAGCCATTTGGTTATGCCCACACCTTGGGTCTTGTCTGTTGAGCAGTGTACTGCCACAGCACTACTGCTATGACAAATCAGCACCCATAACACCTGGGAATCACTGTATCAGTCTGATTTTATCTCTTGTGGTGAAATAAAAGGATCTGTCTAACAGCAATAGTATACACTTTTATAGATTTACTATTTGACAGCGTTTTTGAAATAAAATATTACTTAAATGTATCTGCCTGACTATTGATTGATGAAAAAGTACCTATCACTGCATTTTAATCGTTATCAGGTGAATCTCACTTGAATTGCGAGGCTAGGGAAAATTCACACTTAATTAGATATCCAGATTACGCAGTTATATTCGATTTTCCACTGTCGTAAGTCATTTGCTACATTTACAGATCGTGGTTACAGCTAAAACCACAGCAAGGGTTTCTCGATAAAACAAGCACTTTGTCTCTATCATGGGGATTTGTATGGATCTTTGGCTTGTTTCAAATGAACACATTTGACACTAAATTCATTCACTGTCTCTATTTCCCAGGCCCAGAGTCTCCCTACACCCACTGGAAACAGACAGTCTTCTACCTGGATGACTACCTGACTGTCAAGACCGGGGAGGAGATCTTTGGCACCATCAGCATGAAGCCAAACGTCAAGAACAATGTAAGCAGAGCTCTGGAAGGTCTTCTTTAAATCAAAGCACAAGTATATTTGAGTAACATCAACACTGTATCTAGTTTCTGTTTCCATCTTGTCTGACTAATTGCTATATGGGTTTTCAGAGAGACCTGGACTTCACGGTAGACATCGACTTCAAGGGTCAGCTGTGTGAGATATCAAAGACGTCGGAGTACAGGATGCGTTAGAAGTTGCTCTCCCTCCCCTGTTTCTTCGGTTGAGGACAGATGATTCGGTTTGACTGGAAGGCTGTACAATAGTTTGAAGCTCCCATGCAGCAACATTTTAAAGATCATTTTTTTTGTGGTTTCTTTTCATTTACTTGTTCTAACATTAACAGTATTAAAGAGGTTTTCACATTCTTACAGTCAAGAGTGCATTGATTCAGTAATTCATTATGCAGTCGTCTCTCAACACTCGCTGATTGACATGTGCATCCGTGTTTGTGAGCAACATCGTCTTGGTTTTTACTTCGGCAGTCATTGCACAGTTGATATTCATGTAGACAGACTCACATATCTGCATAGTTTAACTGTCTTTTCCTCTGGCCTTCCCTATGGTCATTACATGAACCAGCTACTGCTCTGCCCTTGGCATCTGTTGAAGCTGTAGGTGTTTTTTTCTTAGGGTGTTCCGAACAGGATTTTTGGGCTCGCAAGCTGATTGTTTGCAGTAGTATCGGCCGATACTGATTACGGTTGATCCAAGTCACCACTTATAAGATTTCATCTCCCTGCTCTATATGAAAATGAAAGTTAATACAGATTTTGTCAGTAAAAGTCCATTATTACTTGTTGTTGTTCCTTTTTTTTCAAGTCAGCACCACATTACCAAATAGACACGTATATCACCCAGTTTGCAGATGAAATGTTTTTTAAAAAATCTGACTGAGCCAACACAAACTCTTGTTACACAGGGAAACATTTCCATTATATAAGGCTCAAATAATTGACAATTAGTTGCAGACAGCACTTCATAAAGCTTCTCCTCACTTAACTACTTAGTGCAATATTTAAAAGGGAGTCTGGTGATGTTGCGAAACACAATCATCTGCAACTTAAACGAGCTAAACCTGCCATCTGCATCACAGTCAAATTTTGATCAGACTCCTGGTAATAAAAGAAGATATGCAAGATGCCTCTCATTTGCTATTAACATCAGCTCCAGGAACTAATTGGAATACCAAAGTATTGACTGAAAAAAATTATGAGCGAGCAGTCTCAATCCCTTCTCATTGTTGAGCGATTGCTAATATAACTAATTAGAGGGAATATTTGCCAATTTGTGGCCGATCAGAGTAGCTGATCAAAAAACCCTTCCTCAACTTTTGTACTGGTCAATTAAAGTTAAACATAACTACCACTATAAACTGTTCTCCAGATAACTCAGGTTTTGTTTGACATAAAATCCCTATCTGAAAAATCAGAAAATTACACAGGGTTATGTTTGTGTAATTGTGGAGGTCCTTTGTCAATGAGAGGATAATGACAGACCCAGAAGGTAAACTGCAAACACACCTGAGGAATGTGTTATTGTGTGCCTTTACAGTAGTGACAGTTATTTAATAGGTAACACCAAAATAGACTTGTAAATTATGGATCATTTTTTGCTGGAGATTTCAGCAGTGACATTGCCACTAGTCCACCCATACCACAGGGTAGGCCTGTATGATAAAGCTAAGATTTATTGTCATTGTGATATCAACATGTGCAACATAAGTACAGTAAAAGACTGCTTGTGCTGTGATAAATGATGTTCCATGTGCCATGCCTTCATGTTCTACATTTCAATATTTTTTAATAACAAATTAAAGTTATTCAGATCGTTTTTCAGGTTTTTCCAAAAAGAGAATGGAGAGAACAGAATTGCGAGGCAGCTCTGTCGAATCTCATGCTGCCAACTAAATTTTACTGTGGAATCTTGTAGTGATCAAGTTTGTCTCGGGTCAAATTCATATGAGTGGTTGATTATATAAAAGAATTGTGAAGCTTACTTATTATAGTCCCAGAACCTGAGTTCACACACTGATTCCGCTGCTCTCTCTCCCTCTCTTTCTCTCTCTCTGACGTCTCCAACATGCTACAGTTTAAATGTTGATTTGTTTGAATTGATGCCACAATATCAACACTGGTCATCACATAAGGATCAATTCTTTTCTTAAAGTAACAGGTCTATGTTATATAAAATAGCCCTTGAAATGTTTTCACAAGTGTGTTTCATCTAAATCGTGAGAATTGTGGTTTCCATTACCCTAGAATGGGCCCTTTATTTTTAAAAACTTTATATCCTCTACATGGAAGCAGCTATGTTTTTCACAATTGTCTAAACTGGACAAACTAAAAACCTTTAGAGTTTTTATGACAACTGAAGGTCTCCACAGGTTCTATATCAGGTTTGGAATGGGAGGGTGAGGTGAGGGGTGTTCAGCTGCAACATGCAACTTCACCTCTAGATGTCACTAAATTCTACACACTGTAATCTTTCTTCAGGGCAGCACAGGCATTCATCAGCCGTCCCGCTCACTCTTTTCCCCTCTCTCTCTCACTTGCTCACATCGGACTATTTTAAACTCAGACTGGGTAAAAACAACAGATGTCAACTGAGGGAATGTAATGAGGAGATGTTGGGGCAGAGTTTGGCTTGATGCGGTTGGTGCAGTCCAAATGATTGTGGCACAGAGAGGAGCAGTAAATTACAGACAGTGAAAACTGTAAAAAAAAAAAAATAACTTCATGGTCTGAACATGTATGAAAGGCCCCAAATGAACACTGTTAGTGGCCTCTGTTCCCCATCTCCCTGTGGCTGTGGAGCCGTCCGTGGCCCCTGCATCCGTAGCTGGGTGGAATTTCTTTCTTGAAAATTAAGCTGGAATGCAAATAATGCTTTTCATTTTTATTTCAGTACCTGCATAGGGCTGAATTGTATGGGTTCTATGGTAGCAGTGAAACCAAAGCAGAAGGACTTGAACATGGCTTATTTAATAAGGAATGTATATTCACTCATCTCACAACTATGCAGATGGAGGGGTGGGTGAATTGTTTAAACCATTTTTTGAGCCATAGTGTCCTCTGATATCTTCCAAGCCACGTTTGCTCACAGGCACACACCGCACACAAGCTCTCACCCTAGGGTGTGCACGGGGTGCATGGTAGCATCGCTACTTCCGGTAGCTTTCGCTGCATAGCTGAAGTTTTGCTGAGAATCTCTTATGTCGTCACAAGCCCCTTGGGAGCATAGGGGTGCAAGCTTTTGCTGTGTGTGCACAAATGTGAAACGTGGCTCCAGGCGACAGGATAACAACTGACATTTAGGCTAAGGACATGGTGTAAATTATACCATCTCGAGGAAAATTTGAATGCCGGGGCTTACAGACACTTGGATTTTTGATTTCTTTCTGTTGTTTTTTTAAAATGTTTGATCACGTTTAAAGACATGGTCACCATTTGCTTTAATTGTATTGGATTTAGCTGCAACACTGTTAACCCCTGAAACTCCAAAAGTGTTTGGTGCTTTCTCACCACAGTTTAATTTTTATTATGTCTACTGCTATATATATATATATAAAAGTAAATGTGGCTATTTTTGCATCTGCTGCTTAGTGTTGTGAGCTGTGTTTTATTTCATCAGCATCTTTCTAGAAGTAGTGTCACTCTATATCCTTGTTACCTTGTATGATTTTGCCTGTTCCATGCCTGTTTTTGGGTGCCGCCTGTGCGACCCCCTTGGACCGTGAGTTAAGTTTTTATTTACCATCACCTTTTTTTAGGCAGAAGTGATGAAGGATTTCTTTACACAGACAGAGATGGGTGTCAACATTGCAGCTGACCAGAGACCTGAAAGAGAAGCGGGTGTCGACATCACAGCCATCCTGAGACGCAGCCAAACAGCCAAAGACAAACCATTCACTTTTCAGCATCTTTATTCTTAATCAGGAGCAAACATACATTTAAATGAAACTCAAATTGTCCAGAAGTTTCTGCTGACTTCGTGGCAGCTCAGCTCTGGCACCGGTTCTTCTCTCCCATCTCTCTTTCTCCTGTGTTTTCCTCTGTGTTTCTGAGGTCTCTCTCTCTCCAGCCTTTCGTTGTCCTTTATCCCTCTGTGCGCTATTCACATAAAGGTTTTCACAATATTCATACTGAATCTGTGCAGAGTCTCAAATGGTTCATCCCCTATGTCTTTGTCTATGTCTTGCTTACTGTTAGATAGTAATGACTGTTAATGCTGGACACGAACCTGTACACAAAACAACCTTTTTAAGTTCTAATTCTTCTATCCATTTTTATGCTGTAGCAATAGCTACCATCTGTGTAAAGTGGTAATGATCTCCTTTTCACAAAAAACAAAACAAAACCTGTTCTTCCTGTAATAGGAGCTTTGGATCCATCTGTATGTACTGGTATAAATGTTTCATATAATGTTTGCAAACTAGCTTCTACCAAAACTTCAATCTTGTCACAACCTTTATGTCCTTACACTTTTTCCAGAATATAGAAATCAATAGTCACTGAGCCAGGTTGGTGTTACTGATAATGGTACAGTGGATATATAGCTTTTCTGACTTAATGCCATGTCTCTTGCTACTTTTACACTGCTCCATGCCCAACACTCCCTCTCGGCCCTTTCAGTCTCTCAACCTGGAGGAAGTACCTTTGTTGTTGGATGTCTCCTATCTGAGAGTACCTGGTGTATTTGTTCTTCTTTTGATGTGATTGGCAGTTGGCAATCCAGCTCAAAAATGTATTACCGCCATCCACCAGACTCGAGTGTGGAACAGTAGATTGGCAGAAAAAAACAAACTCCTTTCAGAAGATTAATCACATCGCCTTCATATTGGGTAAGTTACATCTAAGCACCTATAAGATGAAAATTGAACACTTCATTAAGGTTTGATTGACCGGTGTGTAGGGGCATGTCATCAAATACGTTTCGCCTTGAAACAGGTAGTTCTTTCAACTAAACTATATCTTGTCCAATCTGTAATTTTGTAATTTTGAGGCCACATTCTTTCTCCCATTTCAGTCTAGTCTTATTTGTAGAGTACCTTTTGGTAGCCTCCATTTTCTTCCAAATTCCGTCCCCTATTCTATAATGCCCTATCATTAAAATACAATGATTTCCCTATCCCTTTAACATTTTTCTCAAAAATATCATACATCATAATGTTAAATAGCACGAGACTGCAAACGCTGCAGGGTTCCATTTTCTACTTGATATATTCTTGAATATTCTATACCTACCTTTATTTCTATTGGCCTGCCATACAAGAAGTCAGGTACCCAGTTGTATAACATGTCTCCCACACTTAACTTACTTAACTTGATAAGCAGTCCCTTCTTCCACAACATATATGCTTTTTCAACTTTGAAAAAGACAGCTACTACTATATCCTTATTTGTTTGGGCTTTTCAAATGTCTGACTCTTGGCATAAAATGTAAAATATAAGTGCTATTGGTCTATAATTTTCAGGTCTGAAGGATCTTTATCGGATTTGAGGATTGGTACAGCATCATTTTTCAAACAGATTTTTTCCACTCAACGATGCACCCCAGTTGAGAAGCAAACTCTGGTCATTGGCAACTCGGTCTTGAGTAACGTGAGATGAGTAACACCATTGGCCATAGTCAATTGCATGCCAGGGGCCAGAGCAGGTGACATCGGGTCCAAACTCAAGCTGCTGGCTAAAGCTAAACGGAGGTCACTAAAGTTAATGTTGAGTCGGTGTGTGCTTTTGCAAAAACGATGTCGGACTCTGTAGTTTTCTCTGTACCTCTATGTAATACTCCCGGCGGTGACATATTTAGCCTCATGTTCTAATTAACTGCTGGCTGTCGAGGTGGTGTCCTGCAAACAGTGTGGGCTTTGTAGACAATTGGCAATCTTTTTGGAGGAAACTTGGTCTTGTTAGGAGAGACGGCGCTCATCCCACTTAGGATGGAGCAGCTCTTTTATCTAGGAGCATTACTCTAGTCTATAAAATGACAATCTGGAGTTGGGACCAGGACGCAGAGCTGCAGTCCTACACACTTCTCTGCGCTCCCTTTGTATCAGTCACACAACCACAACCCCATAGAGACTGCCTGTCCCCTGTCCCATTCAATTATTTAAATTAAACAATAACAGAGGAGAATTCCACACAAAATAAATAATAGAAAATGAACACAACCTCTGCAACAACACAACAAACAAAAACAATTAAATGTGGACTCTTAAACATAAGATCATTATCCTCAAAGGCTGTTTTAGTAAATGAAATAGTCTCTGATCACAATATTGATTTATTGTCCCTCACAGAGACCTGGCTGTCAGCCTAAATGAATCTACACCCCTCAGTCATATAAATACACACATTCCCAGATTCCCAGTTGCTTCTATTTTCAACTCCATCTATCAATTAATCCTAAACCCAAACTAAGTTATAATTCATTTGAAAGTCTTGTTTTTAGTCTTCCACACCCATCCAAAAAATCACAACAGCCAATCATATTTGCTGTAGTTTAGAATTCCCTGAGTTTTTATCAAGCCTAGTCCTAAAAACAGATAAAGTTATCATTGTTAGTGACTTTAATATTCATGGTGAAGGCACATAATACAAAAATCACAGTGATTGACCATTACAAAGCTAGAAATTCCAACTTGCCCGCATGGTAGTGATAGTTCTTCTCAGCTAATGTCCCGGAGCAATAGGCAATGACTCTCAGCTTGCCATCTTGCTTTTGATACAGTGCTGCTCCCAAGCCTGGGTGTGATGCATCTGTGTGTACAATGAATGGCTGAGTGAAGTCAGGGAAGCCCAACAGTGCCTGTTGGTGCTGTGATTGGCTTGTAAGTGGGCACTACGTGGCTTGCTGACATCGTTTTTTTTGTTTTGTCAGGGACCTTATTTGGGTCTGTTTTCAGGAGGTCATTGTAATGAACCTTTTGTCATTTGTGGATGTGATATTGCATGAGCAGACGTGTATCTGGAAGACTGACCAAATTGTTTATCTAATAGGGCAACTTTAGGTTTACGATTATTGCTCAGCGACTTTAACTTTATGGCCTCTTGAAGCCTCAACTTGGTATCTTTTGGCATATGTTTGGGATCTCACATCTGGGGTCTCACTCTAGGGGTTATCTACAGAAACGTGAAGGCTGGATGTCTCCTGCACTGATTAAGACATCAGGAGGGTAATAAATACCTTTACACACCCAATGGGAGGGGGCTGTGAGTTATAGAGTCTCCTCTGTTCTTTGCTCATTTGTGCATGCCATTCAGGTGAAGTGTACTGTGAGTCCATCTACAGATGCTGAATTAAACTTGCAGAAAAAAGTGTTTGACTTTGGGCTTGATTCACAGAAATTGCCACCACAGTCATACAGACAGTTTGCTTTCCCGGAAACATCTCAAGCCTCAAAATCAGCTGGATCAACTCTGCTGCCCTCTACAGACACTTTTCTGCCCAAATAACACACCTTAGATTTAAAGAGATCACACTTACTTGGTTTGAGTTTGATCACATACTCTATGAAGCATTTCTGCACTTTTTGCACCTCATCCACATGACTCTAGAAGGTCTTACTGCAAACCAGTGTCATCATCCAGATAAGGGATGCAGATGTTATCCCGGAGCCCTCCCAAACATTCCTCCTTACAATGCTGGAAGGCAGCATGAGGCCGAAAGGGATGCATATCCACTCATATAGTCCCCATAATGTAACATTATGATCATGATGCAGTAAGCTTTTCCCTGGTCTAAGAGGGAGAACCATGAATTGCCACCTAAAATGTCCATGATGTCTTGGACCTGAGGGACAGGCTGGCGGTCCGGATGTGTCTTCCTTTTCAGGTCCCTGTAGTCTAAACATAACCCGAAGGGTGCCATCTTTTTTTCTAATGCCCAGGACAGGTAAGGAATATAAAGAATTAGACTTCCTCGCCCAACCCTGTGCTAAAAGGTCATGGAGGTAACCCTTAATCTCCTGGTACAGTGGTTTTGGCACTGACCGGTATGTCCGTTTGACTGGTTCAGGGTTTTTGAATGAGATGGTCATTTGCAACCTTTCAATGCAGCTAATATCATTGTCTAATCTCAAAAAAGAAGAACACTCTTCTCTAAGCATCTGTCTTACTATCTGTCGCTGACCTTCATCGAGGTGACTTGAGTCTTCGGGAGGATCCCACTGTTCACTAGCCTTACATAGACTTTGGGTACTGGTGTGATTCACTGCAGCTGGTGTTTTTTTGCTTTTTCAAATATCTGGGCAAGCATCACTGTCAAAATAGTTTGTCAGTTCTTTTGTCTGGTTGTTTTCAGAGGTGAGCCGGAAAGTTGTCTCAATCCATTCTGGGTGGGTATTTCAATTCCATTTTCAGTTAATCCATCAGGTGAGTCAAGGATTTCTGAAACATCTCAGTCTTATATTCTGTAAGTTTTCACTTTTCCATCTTTCATCAATGATCATCACCTGAGAGCCTGTGTGTTTTTGACATTTGACTGTCTGTCTCTCTCTCTTCTCTCTCCTCTTTTCCTCCCATCTCTCCTCTCCTCCCCTGTTTTCTTTGCTCACCCCAACTGGTCGAGGCAGATGACCGCCCACATTGAGTCTGGTTCTAGAGGTTTCTCTCTGTTAATGAGGGAGTTTATCCTCCACATTTAGCGCCATTTATCCTGGCGCTATACAAATAAAATTGAATTGAATTGAATAATGGGGAGTTGTTTGAGGGGATTAGGGGTGCAGGATCTAATGATTGTTATGATGGTAAATAGGAATAGATGTCATTTTATTGTAGGAGTAGAGTGTAGGAGTAGGTTGTAAAGTGGGATTGAGGATAAAGTAGGCCATATGTTAGAGTGTGTTTTTTTTTTTCGAAACTCTTTATTTATAGATCATTTTCATCTTTTAGTACAGAAAGGTAAAACAAAAGACATATAAAAAACATTGAACAATTACCCATATTCAAGGTCCGGGGGTGATCAGTAAATACAAATGACAAAGTATCAAACCCAGTACGTGCATACAGTCTCACTCATTGGCCAAATAGGCTTGCCATTTGTGCCATCGTTTTTCACCTAGATCTTTTCGAAGTCTGACTGAGTACGTCATTTGCTCTAGTACATGTGGTTGTTTTACGATATTAACAAAAGAGTCTGTAGTGGGAGCATTTTTCTGGAGCCAACATTTTGTGATGGCCTTTTCACTTGCAACCCTAAGTAGGTATATATCAGCTTTACTCAACCCACCTGGCATATTCCCAAGATAGAGAGTTGTGAATAATACATTCATATTAAAGCATAGGACCTTTGAAACCATTTCCGCCACTTCTCTCCTCGAGTGTGTGTTTTAAATAATAATTATAATGAAGGGACTTAGATGGTATGTTTATTTTCTGATCCACACTCCAGAGCAGAAGGTGGCAGTAATGCGCCTTTAAGCTGGATGCCAACTACAGGAGAGAGGAGAGAGAGAGAGAGAGAGAGACGCTCGAGCTTAATGGGACATTCTGCTGACTTTAGAAGGAATATAATGAAGTGCCAAGCAGGAAACTAGACAAATACAGAAATGCAGGAGGAAAATTAAGAGAGCCACGCAGAGGGACAGAGGCTTCTCATCTCTCATCGCTATCCCTAACACAGAGTTATCCGCTAGGTATCAGGTGTTCTCACACCATATAAGATCCGGGGTGTAAATGTTATTCCTAGTAAAGCCATATAATGAAACACATCCTGGGCATGTGACTGCTACTTGGTACGACAGGTCCAAATGACCACTGTGTGCGCGAACCTGTGCAGCTATAAACCTATAAAATGGCAGCACAGACGCTTGCCCTCCTGGCCAATCAGCGTCGCGCTGCGCTCCGCCTGTGGAGACGATCGTGCGCGTCCGCGGCTGGTTGAGCTGTCACGAGCCTTACCCGAGCCAAGGAGCGAGGCTAAAGAATTAGAGCGGACATAACCGACCAACTGATCCGCTGCTTAAGAAGGAGCGAGAGGGATAAGGCGAGCGAGTAGTGCTTCACACCACAACCCCGCCGTCAAGTCCGTCGATCGCGTCATCCCGGTCACCCTGTGATGCATCCCAGCATTTATTTTTGCTATCCAGCTAGCTAGCTAGCTAGCGGTTCAGCTAGCGCTACGGTGCCCGAGTCGGAGAAAGTTCACGTAAAATTTTCGGACGTATTTTTAATAATACACCGGACTGCGTGCACCCGAGAGACACCCGGACAGTCGGTAGTTGTGACCTCAGTTATGTAATGCTGTGCATGTCGTGCGTGTCGCGTCTGTCCTAGCAAGTGCCGATTGAATGAAATAACGTTAGCTCGCCTCAGGCAGCGGAAACGAGCCAGTTAACAAGGATAACGTCAAATCAAACTGCTGACCGATCCGCCGTCGAGCTAATATAGCACATGCTATCCGGACTAGCCACCCGCAGGCACACCGCTGGGTAGAGAACCCCGGACAGTAGCGAGCGAGCGTACCGGGATCGTGAATTAGCGAAATCACACCAAACGTCAAGTTGGCCATCTTCCACTGCTTGCTCCGTGTGACAGGCTGACCAGCGCGAGGTCGTATTCTCGGATAAGGCCGGAGTGAGGACAGGAACTTGTGAACATGCCGGCCGTGTCGAAAGGAGATGGAATGCGCGGATTAGCGGTTTTCATTTCGGACATCAGAAACTGTGAGTGTGTTTCTCTTTTACCGCACTTGCAAATGTGTGCCTCGTCAAATCAGTAGTACGAGTTCCCTTTTTTTCACCTATCTGGGGCGGGTTACTCAAGAATGTGTCTATAGTTCACTATGTTGCAATCATCATGACCGTTTTACTATTAGAAATAAAAAAACAGCTCGACAATTTAGATAAGAATGGTTCGCTCCACAACAAAAAGACACAGCATTGCTAACAGCATGAAGATAAGGGATTCTGGATGTAAACAGTGGCTGAGTGTTGCTACCAGAAATGCTAAGTTAATGTCAACCAAGGCAGTTTAAAGATCCCAGTCATCTTCAACAACACAACAGGCCAGCTGGCTGATTTGTTACCTGAGGTTGTGGATGAAACCTCACCCACTGGTTTGCTCTCCATGGCTGCTGCCAGGTACTTGGCTTCAGTCATGGTGCACTCACCAGCTTTCAGATACATTCGGTGTTTGACAAGGTGTTTCCTCAGGTTAGCTGCCCAGTCTTCATTCAGTGTGGTGGTGTGTCTTGCATTGTTTATAAGTTTGTTGTACAAGTATTTAGAGAGTATTTCAAGTTTGCACATTAAATAAGTGTAAGATTCAATTTGAAATGACAGTTTTTTTGCTATTCAACTCGGGTAATTATCACTCATAGTGTTGTTATAAAGATTCAGTGTGCAAGATTTAGGTGAAAGGGATCTTTTGGCACACATTGAATACATTGAGGAGCTCCTCTCTACAGAGGACGCCATGTTTTTAACATTAGTCCAGACAGGACAAACTAAACACAGTTTGTATTTTTATAACAACTGAAGGCTACCACAGGTTCTCTGTCATTGGAAGGGGAGGGCGAAGTGAGGTGAGGGGCATGCAACTCCACCACTTGAACGAGTCTAGAGCTGCAACTTATTTTAATAATCAATTATTCTGTCGGTTATTTTTTTGGAGTCATTGATTATTAATTGGATAAAAAGACTTTTCCCCTTTCCACCAGTTTATTTCAAAATAAACGGAATCTTCTACAATGTTGTTTCTAAATGTATTGTCAGTATGGTGCTATAGACATCATGAAGTTGAATTATGACTGGTCAGAATAAAAGTGCGGATATCTGAAACTGGAATTAAAGAATATAATAATATGTCATTTGGCAGAATTGTAGATATCTATAATGAGAAACCACACACACAAGAATAGCAGAAATAGTTTAAATCTTACTATGTAATTGCAGATCTCTCTCCCTCTCCTCACTTAATGGGGAAAGTGACAATCATTAAAGAGCATTTTACATTAAAGCCTTAAAGAACTTGACAAGGCAGCAAAACATCACTGCGGTATGAACACAAAGTTGTTTATGATCAGAATATAAAGCAAGAGAAGAAAGAACGGCTCCAACATGTTTTCTTCAGGTTCATGCCGCAGTAAAGTGTCCTGCCATTTGAAATCAGCTTTGTACATTTTGCAGCTAATAGTCTTACCTAAAGGCTTAATTGTAAAGTTTTCCCACACTTGTGATGACTTGTCTCCACTGTATAGTTCGCTGTGTTTTTGTCCGCCATTATTCAAATATTTACTCAAGAGATGAGATGGCGTTGTCATGTGAGCTGAACAAGGTACAGGATCTGCTGTGCTGTGTATTGTAAAAGACCTGACAGTTCAATAACTAATTATTTGCCAACTGTTTTTTTAACTGGGTTATAATTGATTAAAACGATTAGTGGGTCCTGCCCTAAACGAGTCCTTCAAAAGTTAATGGGTTCTTCCTTGGCCCATACCTCCCCCCTCCACCAAGTTTGAATAAAATCTGTAAATGAATTATTTCTAATCTAACACATGGCAAGGAAAACACATCCTCCTTGCCTGAGACTTTTGGCTACATCGGCAAGTGACAGAGTTTAGACACTGAGGTTGGTTCACCAAGCTCAATTGCTAATAATCACCAGCAAGTCAGTGTATAAAAGTTTGTAGATAAAAGTTACAGTGTCTAATTTTTCTGAGCACAGCTGTTGTTAAATATTGAGCGTTTTAAGCAGTTTGTTATATCAGTGACAATATTAAATTAATGTTTTTTATTTTAGATGATAAATGAAAGACATTCAGATAATTGACAGGTTTTTCTGTCAGGAAATAATTGTCGGAAGAAGAGAATAGAGAGAAAACCGAGAATTTGAAAACAGATTTGATGGAGTGACGCGGCTCCTTAAAATGTCACTCCGCCTCTTTCGACTGTGGAAACTCCTAGTGATCATGTTTGTCCCAGGTCAGATTCATCAATATGAGCGGTTGAAGCTTATTTATGATCCTAGAACCAGAGGGAAGTAACAGCGCACACAAACACACTGCGCTACTCTGTGTCTCTCTCTGTCTCTCTCTCTCAGCTGACGTCTCTGACTCGCTACAATTTAAAAGTTTGTTTGTCGCCACAATATCAACACTGATCATCACATAATGATCGATTATTTAATTAATGAGTTAAATCTTTCTTCAGAGCGGCGCATTCATCAGCCTTTATAAACATGGTGAATGTATGTGAAACTGGAGGAGATGGCGACACGCTCCGTTGGCTTTGAAGCAGTTGACGCAGCACACAGCGCAAAATGGCAGTGACACAAGAGAGGAAGTGAATTACAGACAGAGCTGCTGAAAACCTAAAAGAAGAACTTTTCATGGTCCAAACATGGATGAAAAGACCCCAAATTAACACTGCAAGTGGACTTCGTGGAGCTGTGCATTGCTCCCTGGGTGTCTGCACCGGGCTGTGCGACCTCTCATGGTTGTGGAGATGTCTGTGGTCTCTGCATCAGTAGCCAGGGACTGTTTGTTTATTTATCGCAAGTCATATATATATATATATATATATATATATATATATATATACACAACAATACTTATAAGTAATTAATTATTATTTGAATTGTTGCTGTTGTCAATAATAATCAATAACTTCATTACACTGTTGTTGTTTACATTTTAACTAGTCAGATCTGATACATGATGGTGCACAAGTGTTCGGTCTCTCTCGCCTCCCTCTCTCCCCCTCCTCCCCCTCTCCACTATCTCTCTCTCTTCTCTCCACTCTTTTCCACCCATCTCTCCTCTCCTCCCCTGTTTTCTTTGCTCATCCCAACCTGTTGAGGCAGATGACGCCCACATTGAGTCTGGTTCTAGAGGTTTCTCTCTGTTAATGAGGGAGTTTTTCCTCCACAGTCGCCAAGTGCTGCTCATTGTGGGAACTGTTGGGTTTCTCTATATTAATAAAATTTGAAGGTCTTGACCTTCTATGTAAAGTGCCTTGAGATAATGTATATTATGTGCTATACAAATAAGATTGAATTGAATATATATATCACAGATTGAGGTCTATGGACCTGTGTACGCCTGATTAACACGATCTTGGGTGATCCAAGTGACCACTTATAATCGGAATTCGCTTTCCCGCTCTATAAGCAAATAAACACTACAGGGCTGAATCCTCCTCAGAACTTTGTCAGTAAATGTCCGTTATTACTGTCAAATTTTTCCTCTTTTTCAATTCAGCACTACATTAAACTCCTGTATCAGCCTGTGTCTGTGTCACGTTTCACCTGCGCTGTCAGCAGCTGCAGGAGTGACAATTGGCAGGATTTTATAAATAAACTATATATGCAGGACACACTTAAACTTTCTTCAACTGTGGAAATCTGGTGTTATCACAGACAGATGAAGAAGAAAGGTATAAATACCATAATAAAGTAAAATGTGTCTTGCGCAGTGTCTGTCCTGCCGTACATGTGTAAGAATGCTCAATACTGCAGTAGTGGGCTGTGGACACAACCTTGAGGGGGACCAGTGTTGAGGATGGTTGTGTTGGAGGTTTGATCACCTAGTCTGACATGCTGGGGTCGATTGATAAGGAAGTCCTTGATCCACACATAGAGGGGGGTGGGTGTCGACCTAGTGTCTGCAGTTTTGTTGACCAGTTTGTGCGGGTTGATGGTATTAATGGCTGAACTGAAATGGTCAAAAAGCATCTTGACGTTGGTTTTAGGATTTTCAAGGTGAGTGAAAGCAGTGTGAAGTGCTAAGGAGATGGCATCATCCGTGGATTGGGGCTGTATGTACATGTAGTGCAGGTCAGAGGGAGAATGAACAATTACCATTGCCTTGTTAAAAAGCTATAATTGGTTTCCTTTTTAGAAAATCCATCATATTAGTTAATTGCATACAACGTCTGTACCAACTAAACCCATTTACTAAATTAACGTTTGCTGAACATTTTCTAAAGTACAAATGAAAGAAATTCTGGCACGATCACACCTTCTGGATGAGGTGTAAGTGTGTGGGTGTGTAAGAATTGCATTGGTATCTGGCCTTGCAGTTTTCATGCACATGAAGATCACATAACTCACCCCAAAGCTTTGAAAAACTCAAAAATGTTTTTTTTGTAATTTAAATATTCAAACATCACCCTCCATCTGAATTATTTATCCAGAAACAGTTTTAACTCTATCTACCTACATTTCCTTTTACAACAGTAATAACAGTTAACTGTGACAAAATCTCCCTTAAAGGTACAGTGTGTAGAATTTAGTGATATCCAGTGTTGAAATTGCATGTTGCAGCTGAACACCCCTCACCTCACCCTCTCCTTCAACATGAAAAAGAACCTGTGGTAGCTTCAGTTGTCATAAAAACTCAAAAGGTGTTTAGTTTGTTCAGTCTGGACTAATGTAATAAACATGGCGGCCTCTGTAGAGAGGGTCCCCTCCATGTAAATATAAAGTATTTAAATATAAAGGGTCTTTTCTGGGGTAAAGAAAACTACAATTCATACAATTTAGATGAAATGAACTAGTGAAAACATGAGAATTATTCTACATTAAATTTCTGCCAATAGATCCCTTTCACCTAAATCTTACACACTGGAGCCTTAAACAAAACAAATGCCCCTCTTTCTCCCTCAGCCATTGACAATGTGACATAACTATGCTATGCAGTGTAGCAGAAAGCCAGTACTGAAAA